GGGCAAAACCTGAATATAAAGGCCCCCCCATGCTGTGGTAACTTTAATGACTACCAAAGGACATCATTGGTTAACAAACGCCAGATTAACCAAGTACAAGAGTTTGCTGTGTGGGCCGGGCGCGGTGGCTCAAGCCTGTAATCCCAGCACTTTGGGAGGCCGAAACGGGCGGATCACGAGGTCAGGAGATCAACATCATCCTGGCTAACACAGTGAAACCCTGTCTCTACTAAAAAATACAAAAACCTAGCCGGGCGAGGTGGCGGGCGCCTGTAGTCCCAGCTACTCGGGAGGCTGAGGCAGGAGAATGGCGTGAACCCGGGAGGCGGAGCTTGCAGTGAGCCGAGATCCGGCCACTGTACTCCAGCCTGGACGGTAGAGCAAGACTCCGTCTCAAAAAAAAAAAAAAAAGTTTGCTGTGTGAAAATCCCCGCATAACTACTGAAGTTTGCAACACCCTAAACCCCACCACCTTGCTCCCAGTATCAGAGAGCCCAGTTGAACGTAACTGTGTAGAGGTGTTGGACTCAGTTTATTCTAGCAGGCCCAACCTCCGAGACCATCCTTGAATATCAGTAGACTGTGAGTGGTACGTGGACGGGAGCAGCTTTGCCAACCCCTGCAAAGTGACTCTGAAGAAGACGACAAGCCCTGCTCCAGTCACGCCCAGAAACTGACTGGTCCACGCAAGGCCGAAACATGAGGAAACTAATCGTGGGACTCATTTCCTTAAAATTTGGACTTGTACAATAAGGACTTCAACTGACCTTCCTCAGACTGAAGGCTGTTCCCAGTGTATACATCAAGTCACTGAGGTAGGACAAAAGGTTGCTATGGAAGTCACTGAGGTAAGACAAAAGGTTGCTAAGGAAGTCACTGAGGTAGGACAAAAGGTTGCTATGGAAGTCACTGAAGTAGGACAAAAGGTTGCTAAGGTCCTATTATTTTACGGTTATTATAAGTGTACTGGAACTCTAAAAAGAACTTATTTGTATAATATGTAGCCCAGGAAATGACCAACCTGATGTGTGTTATGACCCATCTGAGCCTCCCATGACCACAGTTTTTAAAATAAGATTAAGAACTGAAGACTGGTGGGGGCTCATAAATGATACAAGTAAAGTGTTAGCCAAAACAAACAAACAAAAAAAGAGGTGCCCAAACAAGTCACCTTGAAATTTGACGCCTGTGCTGTCATTAATAGTAGTAAGTTAAAAATAGCATGTGGTTCTCTTAATTACAAAAGAGGCTATATGGCAGAAAATAAGTACATTTATGATAAATTAGGACTGTATAAAAATAAATGTGGATACTGGTCTTGTGTCATTTAGGCTACTTGGATAAAAAATTTTAAAAATCCTGTCCACCTTCAGAAAGGGAAAAGTAGCCATACCAGTGGTCAGTGTAACCCCTTAAAACTAGTAATAACCAACCCCCTTAATCCTCACTAGAAAAAAGAGGAACGTGTAACCCTAAAAATTCATGGGGCTGGACTGGATCTTCAAGTAAATATCGTGGTTTGAGAAGTTTATAAACGCTCTCCTGAGCCTATTTCAAACCTTCTACGATGAATTGAATGTACCAGTACTGGAAATTCCAGGAAAAACAGAAATTTGCTTTTGCAATTAGCCGAGCATATAGCCCAGTCTCTCAATGTCAATTCATGTTATGTATGTGGAAGAACTGTAATAGGAGATCAATGGCCATGGGAAGCCTGAGAATTAGTAACTACAGACGCAGTTCCTAATGAATTCCCAGCTTAAAAAAATCACCCTGATAACTTCTAGGTGCTAAAAGCCTCAATCATTAGACAACACTGTATAGCAAGAGTAGGAAAGGACTCCACCCTTCTTGTGGGAAGACCCAGTTGCCTTGGGCAAAAACTGTAAAATAGTACTACAAAAACAGCCACCTAGTGGAGTTCACACCATACTAAGAAAAATCCATTTAGTAAATGCCCAAAGTTGCAAACCGTGTGGACCCACCCGGAGTCCCACCAGGACTGGACAGCCCCCACTGGATTATACTAGATACGTGGGCATAGAGGTTACACCAAATTACTTGACCAGTGGGCAGGTAGTTATGGTATTGGCACTATTAAACCATCTTTCTTCCTACTGCCCATGAGGACAGGCGAACTCCTGAGCTTCTCTGTCTATGTCTCCCGCGAAAAGAGAAGCATAGCTATTAAAAAATATAAAAAATAGTAATAAACGGCCCCTTGAGAAAATCATACAATATTACAGGCCTTCTACTTAGGCACAAGACAGCTCATGAGGATACCGGACCCCCATTTACGTGCTCAACTGAATCATACGGTTAACAAGCTGTCTTAGAAATCACTATAAAACCAGCAGAGCCTTGACTATTCTGGCCTGGCAAGAAACTCAGATGAGAAATGCTATCTATCAAAACAGATGGGCTCTCGACTACTTGCTAGCAGCTGAAGGAGAAGTCTGTGGAAAATTTAACCTTACCAATTGCTGCCTGCACATAGATGATCGGCGCAAGTAGTCAAAGACAGTTAAAGACATGACGAAACTGGCACATGTGCCTGTACAAGTGTGGCACGGATTTGACACTGAGGCCATGTTTAAAAATGGTTCCCAGCGCTAAGAGGATTTAAAACTCACGTAATAAAAATTATAGTAGTATAGGAACCTGCTTACTAATCCTTTATTTACTACCTGTACTCATTCAAATGGTAAAAGGTTTCATCGCTACTCTAGTTCACCAGAACGCTTCAGCGCAAGTGTGCTACATGAATCACTATCGATCTGTCATGCAGAAAGACATAGGCAGTGAAAATGAAGGTGAGAACTCCCACTAATAAAATGAGTGAGACTCTCAAAGTGGGGGAATAAGGGAGGAGACCACCCCTCACATTGCCTTATGCCCAATTTCTGCCTCCAAAGAAAGAAGTAAAAACTAAAAGGCAGAAATGAAATCCACAGGCAGACAGCCCAGCACCCCGCCCTGGGCCTGGTAGTTAAAGATCGACCCCTGACCTAACTGGTTACGTTATCTATGGATTACAGACATTGTATAGAAAAGCACTGTGAAAATCCCTGTCCTGTTCTGTTCCAATCTGATTACCGGCGCATGCAGGCCCCAGTTACGTACCCCGCTTGCTCAATCGATCACGACCCTCTCACATGGACCCCCTCAGAGTTGTGAGCCCTTAAAAGGGACAGGAATTGCTCACTCAGAGAGCTCAGCTGTTGGAGACGTTAGTCTTGCCAAAGCTTCCGGCTGAATAAAGCCCTTCCTTAACTCAGTGTCTGAGGAGTTTTGTCTGCGGCTGGTCCTGCTACACTACCTTCCCCAGTATTCCTTCATGACCACTACTACCTGTGCCCTGAAGTGCAAGAGAACCTCAACCCACAGGACAGCCACCTCCTCAGAACCCACGATCTTTGCCCCATCGCCACGGGTCCATGAGTGACCCCTAATTACCAAATCCAAGGGCTCCCTCCCCCTGACCACTCTGGAACCCAACAAAGCCGACACACAGCCCAGCTCAGACGGGTCTGAATGTGGGTCCCGGCTCTCCCATTTGCCAGCTCTACGGCCGTGGGCAAGCGGCTCCACCTCTCTAAGCTTCAGTTTCCTTGTCTATGAAATATCTGTCAGTGCTCTGGTGGGAAAGACGTCGCAGCAGCAGACCAGGGTGCGCGGGGTGCAGTGGGCGACGCTCATTCGTTGAAAACTGACCCTGCTTTCAAAGCCTTGTCAGTTCCTAAAGCTGTGTGAAGCCTTTCCTGAGCCTCAAACTCTAATGAGAGTCTAATTTCGTCGTCCATATTTTCCCCTTTGTTAGTCCAAACTGCGCCATTTTCTAAGTCCCCTTCCATTTTGCAGACCTTGGTCAAAGTGAAACATTCCACGGGGGTTGGAGCCATGACAAACAGCCTGCCTCTTAACATATTCTGCTGGGACAAAGTGCAAGGAACACCACATTCCGCCGGAACCACCTCATCCTGGGAACACGTTATCAACATCTTCCCGGGCAGCAAGCCATACTGCCTAGACCCCTCCCGCAGGCCTATGAGTACCCCAGCCTGTAATCTCTGGCGTGAAGCCGGCCCCCCACAGGTGTCTGCAATGTACCTGTGCTGCTGCAGAGCCGCCCGCACTCTCCACTCTCCGTGCGTCATCCTTCAACCTTCACCTTCCCTTCAAAACCTAACATCCTTGACGTTTATATATATATATATATACACACACACATACACACGTACCCTTCTGAATCCTCCCAGTAGAATATAAAACCACGGGTTAAATTGCTACACTTCAGTTTCACTGGCTGCCTTTCCGTGCTTCAAATACACCAACCTCGTTCCCACCCCTGGACCTTCATGCAAAAGCTGTTCCATTCACCCGCCATGCTCTTTCACTCACCCTTCTTCAGGTGTCTCCAGTATCGCCTCTGGGGCCTTTCGCAACCACCGGTTTAGAGCCGGCTCCCCACAAATAAAGATTCTCCCTCACAGTACTTCGCACAACACCTGGCACAGCGAGAGCACTGAACCCACGCTAGTTCAATTGAGGAGCACGAGGTAAGAACCAAGACCCCCAAGGTCGCGCGTACTTTGTCTGGTAGGGGAAGTTTTCTGCCCAGCAAGGTCCAACCCACATGAAACCCAGCACAAGTTTGCAGCCCTCCCGTGAGTTCAGCCCGCTAGGCTGTGAGAAATTTAAAGACATGACACCTGCCCTCAAAAGCCTGCGAACACCCCTGAGCTGCCGTCGAGGTGGGGGGCGTCAACGACAGGCGCCCAGTAAGCGCTCCTGAGGCAACCGCCGGGCTGTCCTGGACCTGGTGAAACCTTTCGGGGTTCGGCAAAGACGGACGCTGACCGGGCCGAGGAGGGGGACCGGCAGTGCTGGACCACCCTTTTCCAAGCGCAGAGGTGCCCTGCAGAGCGCAGCGCTCGCGGCGGGGACAGCAGAGGCGGGACGGGCGTCACCGGGATCCGGGTCCTCGCGCGGTCACTTACCTGGCCCCAGCTATCCGCTGAAAACAGGGCGGACGGTCTCTCGGGGTCTGAGTCGATATCGCGCGCGGCGCCGCGGGGCAACGTGAAGGCGTGAGCGTGCGTGTGCGTCACGCAGGAGCTCACCCAGCGGCCAGGAGCGTCTGAGGACCCGGGGGGGAAATGCGGCCCGGGAAAGCGCGAGCGTCTCCATGGCAACGAGGGCGCATGGCGCTGGCGCTACTTGCCTCCGGAAGTGACGTGCAGAAGGGTGCCCGGGACGAAACCATGGCCCAGGAGGCGGCGGGATGGCCGCCGGAGGAAACGCTGTCACTGTGGAAACGGTAATGCTGTCGGGCGACGCGCAGGAGGCGAGGGCCGAGGCCGCGCGGCCCTTCGCGGGCCCTCCGAGCTCGTGGTCTTTAGGCTGTGGAGTCAGGGCGGCCGCCGCCCGAGTCCCCCAAGCACGGCCCAGCTTCCGGCGCGGCAGGGGCGGGGCCTCAGGAGTTGTAGTCCGCGGGGTGGGCGCGGTTGTCGCTTCCGGCCAGTTTGCCTGGCCTGCGCTTTGCCCGGTCTCCGTCGCCTGGGCTCCTAAGGACTGTGGCTTTGCCGGTGTGTCCCTTGCTTTCCCCTGAAGCGGGAGAAGACCCGGCAGAGACGCTCTGTCCGCTGCAGCCGCGCGGGTGGAGGAGGCAGAGTCGGGGGTGTGGCCCCGACCAAGTTTGACGCTTCTGCTTCTGTCCCCCTAGGGAGCAAGCTCGGCTGAAGGCCCGCGTCGTAGACCGGGACACCGAGGCGTGGCAGCGAGACCCCGCCTTCTCGGGTCTGCAGAGGGTCGGGGGCGTTGACGTGTCCTTCGTGAAAGGAGACAGTGTCCGTGCTTGTGCCTCCCTGGTGGTGCTCAGCTACCCTGAGCTCGAGGTAACCTGGGAGGACGCCGAGCTCGAGGCGGGCCCTTCGATGGGCTCGGGCGTAGGATCTCTGGGGCAGGGAGCAGTGCTAGCCTAGAACCCGGCTTCTTGTTTTGTAGGATGTCATTAATAGTCTGGGGAGTTGGCCGGGCTCGGTGGCTCACGCCTGTAATCCCAGCACTTTGGGAGGCCAAGACGGGCGAATCACCTGAGATCGGGAGTTCGAGAGCAGCCTGACCAACATGGAGAAACCACGTCTCTACTAAAAATACAAAATTAGCCGGGCGTGGTGGCGCATGCCTGTAATCCCAGCTACTCGGGAGTCTGAGGCGCGAGAATCGCTTGAACCGGGGAGGCGAAGGTTGCGGTGACCCGAGATCACGCCATTGCACTCCAGCCTGGGCAGCAAGAGCGAAACTCCATCTCAATTAAAAAAAAAAAAAAAAAGTCTGGGGAGTTTGGGAAGGGAAAAAAAGGCAAAAATTAAAGGAATTCTGTGACTGTTAAGAATCAGCTCATGAGCTTTATCTCCAAGTCTGATTGTTATCTGGGGTTCCTCATCTCAGTGACCTGGACACCACACCCTCAGTTGCCCAAGCTGGAGATCTATGTCCTGCTGGGCCCTTCCCTTCCTCTCATGTCCAGTTGCACACTAGCTCCCTTGTTTCCTGCCTCTTAAATGGCGCTGGAATATATCCCCTTGTCTGTTTCTCCTCTGCTTCTTCCCTGGCTGTGCCACCGTCACTCCCGTGGGTTCCTGAGCAGCATTTTCATGGGTGCCCTGGCTCAAGTGTTCCTCCTCAGTGGTTTATTTTCCATACTGCCAGCAGACCGATTTTCCCAAAAAGCAAGTATTTTCCTCAAAAGCAACAAGTCCTGTCCTCCCCTCCCTTTCCCTTTCCTTTTCCCTTACCCTTCCCCTTCTCTGTGTCCCAGGCTGAAGTGCAGTGGCGTAATCTTGGTTCACTGCCAAGATCTAATCTCAGCCTCCTGGACTCACGTGATCCTCCCACCTGAGCCTGAGTAGCTAGGACCACAGGTGTGAGCCAACACACCCGGCTTATTTTTTTAGTTTTTGTAGAGACAGGGTCTCACTATGTTGTCCAGGGTGGTCTTCAGCTCCTGGGCTCAAGGGATCCTCCCACCTTCGCCTCCCCAAGTGCTGAGATTACAGGTGCGAACCACCACACCCAGCCCACAAGTCCTCTTAGAACATCAAAGTGCCATTCTCATGACCTCATGGTGAATGAGGTTCACTCTCATTGACTATGACTTCAAGGCCCGTTATGACCTGTCACCTGCATAATTTAATGTGACACTGGAGGCTCAGCCCTCACCACCATTCTCAGTTCTTCGCACCCCCTACAGCCCACTTTGAATCCTTCACACGTGTGCCACGCTGGATTTGGCAGCCTGACCTTTGCAGTAATGTTTCCTGTCCTGGAAGGGTTTCCATCTGGCTAACTCCTACTCATCTCTTCGGGCTCAGTTTAGACATGACTTCCTCCACTAAGCTCCGTCTCATCCCACAAGACCAGGAGTTGTCCCTCAGCACCATGTCTTAGTCTGTCTGGGCTACTGTAATAGAATACCTTAGACTAGGTGGCTTACCCACCGCAGGAATTTATTTCCCACAGTTCTGGAGGCTGGAGGCTGGAGATAAGGGTGCCAGCGCAATCAGATTGTGGTGACAGCACTCTTCCAGGTTGCACAGGGCCAGCTTCTTAACCACGTTCTCACATGGTGATCCACTCACCTCCCTAGAGGCCCCATCTCGTAATACCGTAACCTGTGGGTTATAATTTCAACATATGAATTTGGGGAGGACACCAACACTTAGACCATAGCAACCCTCTGCTTCCTCTTGTCTCGCTGGAATGGAACTGCCCTGTCTTCCCTACTGGAATATAAACTCCGTGATGGTAGAAACCATGTTGCTTTGCCCACCGTGGGTAGCATGCAGAAGATGCTGGACTCTTCCTTAAATAGACGTGTGTGTGAATGGACAATGGGCTCATGATTCACATAAGAGTCAACAGCTCCAAAGCCTCTTGGCGCCACTCGCCTTGCTCCTCTGCGGCTCCCGAAGATGACAAACGTCTTCCTGCTTCCATGGCTTTGTGCTTTACTTGAGAGGCCCTTTTCAGTCCAAACTAAGCAAAACTGTACTGAGTGCCTCCTGTGTGCTAAGATTGGGATGTTCAACAATCCCTACCCTAAGGGGTCCCCTGGCCATTTTGTAGGCTAGCATTGGGAGTGGGGGCACAGTCTTAGGGTTCTGACTGCTTATGCTCACACCCAGCTCTGCCACTCCCCACTTTGCCCTCTAGGCCTCTGTCTCGTTTTTTCTGACTTAAGGATGCTAGTGGTATTAATATCCAGTCCACAGAATTGTGATGAGCCATACATGAAATGCATGGAAAGCAACTAACACAGCATTCCCTTCCCCCTCCAACTTTCCCCGGCTGTGAATTAATCACCCTTTTATCTGCATCCTGAGCCTCTTTTTAATGCCCATGCTGTCGTAGCACTTCTCACATTATATTCAAGGTAGTCATTTATGATTCCGTTTTTCCCAGTAACTGTAGGTTCTCAAGGATAGGGCTGTACCATACTTCTTTTATAACCCCAGCACCAAGCAAAGCACCTGCTACTTCCTCGGCATTCATTGTTCCGGCTATGAAGCCTAGACTAGGAAGGGATCTTGGAACAGTCTGGTCCACTGGTTCCCGAATGCCCGACCATGGACCTGCAGAAGCAGAATCACCCGGAAGTGTGTTGAGAAACAGATTCCACAGGCACATCCACAAAGACAGAAAGTGGATCCCTGGGCCTTGTACTTGGGGTAGGATAGATGGGAAGTGACTGCTGATGGGTGTGAGGTTTATTTAGGGGTTAAGGAAGATGTCCTAAAGTTAGATTATAGTGATATTGCACAACTCTGTAAATACCAAAACCATTGCATTGTATGTTTTAAACAAGTTAACTTTATGGTATGTCAATTGTATCTCAGTAAAGCTGTTAGAAAAAAAAACAAAAACAAAAACAAAAAACCAGGCCGGGTGCAGTCACTCAGGCCTGTAATCCCAGCACTTTGGGAGACTGAGGCAGGCGGATCATGAGGTCAGGAGATCGAGAACATCCTGGTTAACATGGTGAAACCCCGTCTCTACTAAAAATACAAACAAATTAGCCAGGCGTGGTGGCGGGTGCCTGTAGTCCCAAACACTCGGGAGGCTGAGGCAGGAGAATGGCATGAACCCGGGAGGCAGAGCTTGCAGTGAGCCGAGATTGTGCCACTGCACTCCGGCCAGAGTGACAGAGGAAGACTCCGTCAAAAAAAAAAAAAAAAAGAAAAAAACAGATTCCAGAGCCCTACCCCTACCCCACTTACTGGGGGAAAAACTCTCCCAGAGTATGGCCTGGGAATCTGCTTTTTAAAATAAGCTTTCCTGTGATTCTCAAGCAGAGCTGGGTTGGAGAACCACTGGCCTGCTTTTCCCACCATGAAGAACACTGTCCTTAGCATCCCTGACAAACGATGGTGGAGCCCGTTCTGTGCCAGACTCTGAGCCATGACTGGTGTGTGCTGCTCCACAGGCCTCCCGGCGGAGCCTGTTCCATGCCAGACGCTGAGTGATGGCTAGTGTGTGCTGCTCCGCAGGCTCTGCAGGGAGCTGACCCCTGCTTGTCTGTGACTCCTGTCGATCAGTTCTGCCTTCAGGTAGCAAAACAGAACGGATCTTCCCTGCCTTCTGCTTGTCAGCCCTTCCGCTGCTGGAAACAGCTGCGTGCTCCTTGACCACGTGGTCCCAAGAGGCTGTGATGACGTCCAGCTTCTTCACTGGCCAGTGGCCCTCTGGTCATGCTCTCCATTCACAGGGTCCTTCTTTCCGTCTGGCACTCAGAATCAAATGCAGGAACTCAGATATGGTCTACCCAAGTCCCTAGACCTTCCACTCACCCACGCCATTTGCGTTGGTGCGGCTGGAAACACTGGTGACTTTTGAGGGGCACCAGGTCACTGGCTTATGTTGAGATTGCTGGTCATCCAGACCTGCCCCCCACACTAATCATACAGTGATTTTTCTTTTCCCAGATTTTTAACTTGAAAATGTACATACATCCCCAAAAACTGAAAAAGGATGCATCGGACAGCTGTATTCCTTCTACTTACATGCAGCTGTTGCTGCTCTGGAATATTCTCTCTCACACGTGCGCATGCTGTTTGTGTGTGTGTACCACACATCCCCGCGATTGTGACACTCAGCTCAGAAGACATCAGCAGGCCTGTCCTGAGAATGACATTCTCCTCCACAGCCACAGTGTCATTAGCGTACTGATTACAAATCATAGTCACCCCATAACGTCACCTGAATTACAGCAGTATGGGAGAGATTGAGACGTAAGCAGCCCCCGCCTGCTGTGGGAACTCAGGCCACACTTTAATTCCACGTGCCACTGTGCAAAGTGACTTTGCTCTGTGGGGATGTCAGTGATCCAGCCAAATTCTGTTATCAGAACAGACCCTCCCCACTTTGGGTCATGGGCAGATTTGATCAGTTTCCCCATTGAGCCGTTGATAAAGATGTCGAGAGAACGAGCCCCAGCCCTCGGTGCTAATACAGAGCACTCCGTTTTCTTTGATGTGTTTAATTATTGATCCAGCCACAAGTGAGGAGTGGAAGTTGTGATTTGAAAGCTGTCACCAAGAGATTTGGGGGATTCAGGAACAAAATTGCAGGAAGGTAGACAGGTCTGGAGAATGTGATATAGTGGGAAACGCGTCCCCACATTAAGGCTAGTGTGACTAAGGAAAACACAAGGTTAGGAGACAGGCCTGCCATGTTGTGCTCTAAACTACAGCCTCTGCCTCCTGGGTTCCAGCGATTCTCCTGCCTCAGCCTCCCGAGTAGCTGGGATTACAGGCGTGCGCCACCGCACCCGACTAATTCTGTATTTTTAGTAGACATGGGGTTTCTCCATGTTGGTCAGGCAGGTCTCAAACTCCCAACCTCAGATGATCCATCTGCCTCGGCCTCCCAAAGTGCAGGGATTACAGGGGTGAGCCACCACTCTTGGCCAACGCTGTGTCTTCTTTAAACCCATGGAGGGGTGGGGCGGGGTGTCCGCTTCAATACACAAAGGAGGAGGCACCAGGAAAGCAAGGGGCAGGCAGAGGTGATGCAGCCAGCAACCTTAGCCTTGCTTCTGATGGAGACTAGGTCCCGGGGGGCTCCTAAGGACCAGATCCCAGGGAATCCTCCTGCAGACCAGGTCCCAGAGGCTCCTTGTATGGGCGAGATCCTGGGGAATCCTCCTACAGACCAGGTCCGGGGGTGGAGAGGCTCCTCCTATGGACCAGGTCTCGGGAAGGGATTTCTCATATGGACCAGGTTCCAGGGGGCTCCTCCTATGTACCAGGTCCCAGGGGGCTGCTCATATGGACCAGGGAATCTTCCTACAGACCACGTCCCAGGGCTTCTACTGTAACACACCAGGTCTGGGAGTTGGGGCTCCTCATACGGACAAGGTCCTGGGGGTGGGAGGGGCTCCTCCAGTTGACCGGGTCCGGGATGGCGGGTTCTCATATGGACCAGGTCCCAGGAGGCTGCTGCTACGGACCAGGTCACAGGGGGTACTGCCCACCACCAATTTGCAGGGTACATCGTCTAGTTCCTTATTCCAAACCCATCATCTCGTAGGTGAGGCAGGGAAGGGGAGCCATGAGGGTGAGGTAAGGGAGAGGGAAGGATGAAGAGCGGGGTGGCGGGGGTGCAGGTGGCCAAGGGCTGTGCTGCCCACTGAGCTGCGTGCCTGGTGGCAGGTGGTGTACGAGGAGAGCCGCATGGTGAGCCTCACAGCCCCCTACGTGTCGGGCTTCCTGGCCTTCCGAGAGGTGCCCTTCTTGCTGGAGCTGGTGCAGCAGCTGCGGGAGAAGGAGCCGGGCCTCATGCCCCAGGCAGGTGTCTCATCCCTAGGACAAGAGAAAGATCCCTCCTTCCCCCTGGGGGAGGGAAGGCGGTTGCAGGTCGCCACCACTGCAGTGGCGGGGAGAGACTCGTGAGCTTCCTGGAAGAGAGGAATGAGGGTTTCTAAAAAGCTGGACCCCAGAGACAGTGCCCCTTTCTTGCCTAGGGGATGGCCCTGTCCTGAGGGCCGAGGGCCAGCTCAGCTGACTGTGACTCTCCCCATGGCTCCATAGGTCCTTCTTGTGGATGGAAACGGGGTGCTGCACCACCGAGGTAATCCTGCTCTCAGAGGTTCCGGGAGGGCACTGTGGGGAAGAGATGGGGGAGAGGGCGCCTCTGTCACCCCCCACACAAAACGCCGGCCCCTCGGCCTCTGCCGCCAGCCCCTCCAGCGGCTCCCTTCTGGGCGCAACAGGGACTCACAGTGTGCTCTGCCCCCCTCCTCCAACCCTGCCAGAAAAGGACTGTCTTTGCTTCACCCCTCCCCTCTTTCCTGCGCGCCCCTGCCTTCCCTACAGCGCCCCTGCCTTCCCTACAGCGCCCCTGCCTTCCCTACAGCGCCCCCTGCCTTCCCTACAGCGCCCCTGCCTTCCCTACAGCGCCCCTGCCTTCCTGCAGCACCCCCCTGCCCCACCTTCCCCTACAAGCGCCCCCGCCTTCCCTACAGCGCCCCTGCCTTCCCTACAGCGCCCCTGCTCCCCTGCCTTCCCTACAGCGCCCCTGCCTTCCCTACAGCGCCCCTGCCTTCCCTACAGTGCCCTGCGCTGGCTCATCTCCAGGTGCCACTATCCAGTTCTGATCTGATCACCAAAAGATGTCCCAGGGCCCGGGCTCGGAGTGGCCTTCCTTGCCAGTCACCCTCCCTGCCAGCCACCCACACTGCATGGCCCGTCAGGCCCTTATCCACAACTAGACAGGTGCACCCAGGCCCCCACTGATGCCGGAAACCTTGGCCTAGGGAGCACGACTGACGGAGATGGGCCCTTTTTTTTCTTTTTGAGACAGAGTCTCGCTCTGTCGGCCAGGCTGGAGCGTGGTGGCACTCGCAGTGATCTCGGCTCACTGCAAGCTCCGCCTCCCAGGTTCATGCCATTCTCCTGCCTCAGCCTCCCGGTAACTGGGACTACAGGCGCCCGCCACCATGCCCAGCTAATTTTTTGTGTGTTTTTAGGAGAGACGGGGTTTCACGTGTTAGCCAGGATGGTCTCGATCTCCTGACCTCGTGATCCGCCTGCCTCAGCCTCCCAAAGTGCTGGGACTACAGGCGTGAGTCACCGCGCCCAGCCAAGGGAGATGGGCTCTTTTACCCCCACATACAGAGCTGAAGGTGGCACAGCAGCACCCAGAGAGGGCCCAGGAGGGGTGACGTTGGACCTTCCTGGCCAGCTAGTGTGATTGGGCCCGGGCTGCTGCCCTCACACATGGGTGCAGAGCCAAAGGGTGGTCATGTGCCGACCCACATGCTAGTGCCAGTGCTGGCAGGCCACCGTCGAGGGAAGAGGAGGCCGGGAGGTTCAGGAAATGACCGGAGAGCTCGTCCCAGCGCTGGCAGGCCACCGTCGAGGGAAGAGGAGGCTGGGAGGCACAGGAAATGACCAGAGAGCTTGTGCCAGCACTGGCAGGCCACTGTCGAGGGAAGAGGAGGCCAGGAGGTTCAGGAAATGACCGGAGAGCTGGGCTGCAGTATCCCAGCATGCCAGTGAGGTGCTGGCACTGGCACTGACCATGTCAGAGGGAAGGAGGCTTCCTCCCTGGCCTCGCACCCAGGAAATCGGGCACAGGGGGCGTTGGCCCAGGTCAGCTTGGGACTTAGTTCTGGTTTCCCCAGCCCTCTGCCCGTCCACAGACCTCTGCTCACTTAGGGAAGCTTTTGGTGAGACTCTGGCTTGTCCTGAATCCCTGTGCCAGGCCCCAGCCCCACCTCCCCAACCCCACCCTCCTTTCTCCCTGGCAGGTTTTGGGGTGGCCTGCCACCTTGGCGTCCTTACAGACCTGCCTTGCGTTGGGGTGGCCAAGAAACTTCTGCAGGTGGATGGGCTGGAGAACAACGCCCTGCACAAGGAGAAGGTGAGGAGGGGCCTGCTGCAGGCCATGCCGGGCAGCTCAGTGGCAGGGCTGCAGTGGCCCTGGGCACGAGGATGCTTCTGGACCAGCCCTTGCCTGCGGACGCTGCCCTCCTCGTCCCTGGCTTGTGGCCTGGAATAAGGAAGACCTGCTTTCCTCCGGGCGGTGCCGTGCCTGTCTCAGCCGAGGGCACGCTCTGTCCTCCGGGTGCTGCCGTGCCTGTCTCAGCCGAGGGCGCTCTCTGTCCTCCAGGCGCTGCCGTGCCTGTCTCAGCTGAGGGCGCGCTCAGCTCCTCTTCTGCCTCTTGGGTGTGCCTGCCTCTCTGGTCCCCCTCGCCTCTGAGCCACCGTGGCACACCAAGTAGGGCTAAGTCCCCCAGTTACTGGGGACAGGATGGGCTTCCAGGCTGTCCCGGGCGCACTTGGTGCTTTTCCCACCCCACCTTGCCCCAGACCCCGTCTCCTCCCCTGCGTGCTCAGGTACGCCAGCCTCCAGGCCCCCCTCCCACCAAGGCCTGCCTGGCACTGCCACCCACACTCTTCCTACCCCACCTTCCCCTGCACCTTCCTCCTCTGGGACCCCATGTTGGCACCGGGAGTGAGACACTCTCCTCTGGGACCCCATGTTGGCACGGGGAGTGAGACACTCTCAGTGGAGGGAGCTGGTGACACCCCCAGCTGTTTGACTGGATGGCAGACTCTGAACAGAGACTGCATCTCTCATTCCTCCCAGCTCTCAGGTGCCTGCATGGAGCAGTTGCTTAATATAAATCTGTTGAGTTGATGGGGACTTTAGACCCACTCAATGAGCCAGTCCACTGCCTCCAGAAATACCAGCCTGTTGAGCTGAGTCAGATGTGCCCAAAGCAGGAGACAAGCCACAGGAAGGAAGCGGGCTCAGCACTGGTCACTGGGCAGCGGTGGCACCTGTGTGGCTGCCAGCCTGGCACAGCGGCCCTGGGCAGATTGCTGCCCTTATTCTAAGCCACGTCATCAGGTTTGGACAGGGTCTTTTGGGCAACACTCTCAGCTCGGGCGAGACCACGTCACCGCCTGCACGCTCAGTGGCATCTCAGGTGGTGCAGCTTTGCCTGGGCCACAGTTCACCTCCAAAATCAGTCCCCTTCGCTGTCCTGGCCCAGTGACTGTTTGGGTTTTTAAAATAAAGAGACTTGGGCCTGTCACGGTGGCTCACACCTGTAATCCCAGCACTTTGGGAGGCCGAGGTGGGTGGATCACGAGATCGGGAGATGGAGACCATCCTGGCTAACACGGTGGAACCCCGTCTCTACTAAAAATACAAAAAATTAGCCGGGCGTGGTGATGGGCACCTGTAGTCCCAGCTACTCGGGAGTCTGAGGCAGGAGAATCGCTTGAACCCGGGAGGCAGAGCTTGCAGTGAGTGAAGATCGCGCCACTGTACTCCAGCCTGGGCAACAGTGCGAGACTCCGTCTCAAAAAATAAAATAAAGAGACTTGCCTTCAGCCCTTCATCAAGAAAAGAGGATTTTTTTCCCCATTTTTTTTTTCTCCCATTTTCCAGATCCGACTCCTGCAGACTCGAGGAGACTCGTTCCCTCTGCTGGGAGACTCTGGGACTGTCCTGGGAATGGTGAGTGGCCAGGACCCTGAGCCCCTCCAAAGCCCCGGGGTAGGGGATCTTTTGCAGGCAGACACAGGGGCATGCAGACACGCGTGCCCTCACACTTACCCACATCAACCCCCTGCCTGCCTGTCCGTCCATCCTCCTGCCTCTGACTGAGCCCGGGGTGTGATATCTGTGTGTATATCCTCCAGCTGTGCTGAGGGAGCCCACCCTGCCCCAGGGACAAGCAGTAGGAAGGTGCCCTGAGGATGGGCAGGCCCTGGCCCCTGAGAGCACTGCCCCCTTCAGCTTGCCTCCTGCCCCCAGGACATTTTGTCAGAGCTCCAGCCGCTGAGGCTGTCTTGACCCTGGTCCCAGTGGCCCAGCCCACAGGACAGCCCTCACCTTCCTTGTCACAGGCCCTGAGGAGCCACGACCGCAGCACCAGGCCCCTCTACGTCTCCGTGGGCCACAAGATGAGCCTGGAGGCAGCTGTGCGCCTGACTTGCTGCTGCTGCAGGTTCCGGATCCCAGAGCCCGTGCGCCAGGTGGGTGGGCCGGGGGTGCGGGGAGGCAGCACAGGCGCCTCTGCTTCCTACCACCTGCTGTTCAGGGCTCCCCAGCAGCTCAGCTGGGGTCAGAGTGCAGTGACGTGAGGACAGGGGTTCCTGGGCCAAGGAGAGGTCACAGACACCTTGATGGAGAGCTTGGTTGGCCTGCGCTGGGCCCTGCAGTCAGAACAATAGACCGGAGGGTGCAGGGCTCCCAAGAGTTCATCCCCAGGCCCTGTGCCCCATGCACTCAGCCTCCCAGCCTCTCTGAGCCTCCTGCACCCAGATACAGGCCAGCTTGGAGAGTCAGTGATGTTCGCTCCGGTGGTGAGGTGTCCTGCCAATTTCCAGCCAGCCCCTCGGGTCCCAGAGGGAGCAGCTGAACTTGAGCCAGGAGGCTTCTGCAGGAAAGCTGTGCAGGCCCCAGAGCTGCTGGTCTGGGGCCTTGGGTAAGCCCACACCAGAACCCAGCACCAGAACTGCTGTTCGGTCCCCCAGGAAGGGTGAGAACTCTGCTGAAACGGTCAGCTCAGCTGAGAAAGGACTTAGCCTGCGGGCCAGGGCAGAGACAGCTGGCACGAGATGCCCACAGCCAGCCTCGATAGGACCAGGGGACCACAAGACATGGGTGGATCCTGTCCCAGAGAAGCCCACAGAGTGAGAGTTCAAGAAAAGTCAGTCTTAGAAGAGACCCGCTAGGGGAAGGGCCGCCCTGGGCAGGAAGGAGTTTGATGTGCTCAAGAAACGGGGGGCCCGGAGGGTGGCTCACACCTGTAACCCCAACACTTTGGGAGACAGAGGTGGGAGGATCACTTGAGCCCAGGAGTTTGAGGGCACCCTAGGCCACATAGTGAGACCCCGTCTCTACAAAAAAAATGTAAAAACAAATTAACCAAGTGTGGTGGTACACGCCTGTGGTCTCTGCTACTCAGGAGGCTGAGGCGGGAGGATCACCTGAGCCCAGGAGGTCGAAGCTGCAGTGTGCCCTGATTGGGCCACTGCACTCCAGCCTGGGTGACAGAGCAAGACCTTATCTCAAAAAAACTTTTTAAAAAAAGCAAAAAGAAACAGCAGGAAGGTGTGGCTGGAGCCAGGGCAGTGAAGTACAGAGTGGGTGGGAGCCGGTGAGCATCTTGGGGTGCTCCAGGGTCTCAGACGTCACCCACAGGGACTTGGATGGCTGAGTTGGCAGCGGGATGCCCGCAGGTTGGCCTTTTTAGGTGGCCGCTGTGCGTGCTGTGGAGGCTGTGGGGTGGAGGTAGGGACGCGGGTCTGCACAAGCCACGCCGCTTCCAGCAGCCCAGCTCCGGAGCCTCCGTGGTGTCTGCCGCTTCCCCGTCTTACCTCCACTGCTTGCACCGCAGCCTGTGCTGGGGCAGCGGCAGCACCAGTGGAAAACCCCCAGGCCACCACCATGGGGCCGGTGCCTTCCGGCTGCTGGCGTGCAGTGTGGCCTCCAGGGGGCAGCAGCAGCCCGCATACCACAATGGCCCTCGCCCTGGGGAGCTGTGCCTAGTGGTGGCATCTGAGAGCGGGCTCCGCAGCCTTGCAGGGCTTTGCTCAGGGCACAGGTGTGTGGGCTCTCAAGCCCGTGAGCTGTGTCCCCAGCCCCCAGGAAAGAGGCCTTTCTTCCTCCATTCCAGCTCAGCCGTGTGGTCTTCCGAGAGAGAACCCAAGAAACTGTCTCCCAGGCCTTCAGCCCCAGGAACTTTAGGTCGTGCTGCTGCAGACAACACAGTTCCTGGAGCTCCTAGACCTTTTTCCACCTCAGCACGCCCCAGAGTAGGACAGTGGCCCGTCCTTGCAAGGGAGGGGACACCTGGCCTGTGAGTACCTTGAGCATCTAGAAACAGAACAAGGATCTGTGTCTAGCACTGGCGAAGAGCCTGCCAAATCCTGGGCCCACCCTCCAGAGGAAGGAAAGCTGCAGCCAGATGGGATATGCAGCTGTTCCGCACCAGGAGCCCGCAGCTTCTCACTGCTGGTTGTGAGCCGATGGTCGAGTCCCGCAGGGCTGGCTCTGTCTCTGGGTCCGTTTTCTTCCTGAGGTCACTCACCTCTCAACTGTTCCAGAAGGTTCTGGGAGGGCACAGACAGGGTGAGTGTTGGTCTGCTCTCTCCCTGGCTCCTCCCCGAGCCGTCTTGGTGGCCCCGTGGTCACAGGCGCTGCTGTGCTCCTGGTTGCCAGGTCCAGGCTCTCCTGCCAGGCCAGGCTGGGCCGCTCCAGGGGAAGGTGAGAGGTGCTGGCCCCGCCTACCGCTGCCCCTCTTCCCTCATGAATAGAAGCAGGAGCAGGCTGGGGGATTAGCCCTTGCTTTCCATGAGTCGCGCAGCCCTGAAGCTAATCTAAGCCCATCTGAGCTGGGATGAGGGGGACTTCCCAGGGCCAGACCCCCCATGCCCCCAGGGTTCCCACTCAGACCTGAACCCTGTTCAGGTTGCTAGATCCTGCTAGCAACCTTGCTGTGAGACCCTGCTGGGGTCTGCCGTCATCCCAGCCTGTGGCCCACCGCCCTCTTTTATCCTGGTGATTCCGGAGGCGGGACAGAGGTTACTGCTGATCTCTTCAGGCAGGGGACAGACCAGCTGGGCTCGGAGTCCCCAGAGAAGCAAGTGTTAGCAGGGAAGCCTCGGCTTGCACACAGCCTACAGGGAAGCACAGGCTGGAAACCAGTGAAGGCTGAGCAGCTCCAACTGCCACGGGTGGGGAGGAGACCCAGGACCCGCTCGCTCAGCCTGTCCGCTCACCAGCTACTCAGGCCCATCAGGGACTGCCCAGCTTGGTGTGAGAGCTGCCGTCGTTGCAGGGCTTTGACCCCAAAGTTCCAGGCATGCCTGTCACACACTCGCCAACAGGGCCGCTGCTCCTGAGCCTGAAAAGCTGGCTGTGATCTGTGTATCCTGAATGGGCTTCTGTGGGGGATGGAGGCATTGCCACCAGCAGCTCCTGGTGGGAAACTGGTCCACAGGCCAGCTCAGCACCCAGCAGCACGTCTGTCTCCTCCAGGCTGACATCTGCTCCCGAGAGCACATCCGCAAGTCGCTGGGACTCCCCAGGCCACCCACACCGAGGTGAGCACCAGAGGAGGCTGGGGCACTAAAGGGGCATTTCAGACACCCGCATAGGCTGTTTCTGGTGGCTCAGCCTCTGTCTGTTGCAACACTGTGGCTCAGGACAGACAGCGCAGGGCCAGGGCATGCAGGGGCCACAGGAGAGGTCTTCAAAGAGGGAGGAGAGTGGAGTGGGGTGGACTCCTATTCTCGTGGGAACTCTCCAGAAACACTACTGCTTCCACCCAAAGTCCTGGGACTATCCTCAGCCTTCCTCAGTCCACTTAGCCTGTGAGGTACCCGGATGTGGGTGCTGCAGAAAAGGTGTGGCCTCGGAGTCAGACATGCCCCAGCCCTGCATAGCCAGCTGTGGTACTTGCACTCCTCAAGCCTCAGCTTCCTCATCATCGAGATAAGCTCTGTAATTCTTGTCCCGCTGGTTCTTGTTAGAGTGACAGTGTGCCTGGCACAGTCACAGCTAACAGTGCAAGGCTTTGTCTTAAAACTATTGCAGATGATTTGATCCCGCTAGCAACCTTGCTGTGAGACAGGTACTGTGACCCTACCTTACAGATGAGGAAGCTGGGACACTGAGCGCTGATAAGGAGTAAAGCCGAATTCAGTCTGGCCACTTGTTCTCCTCTTGGAGTGGGCAGTTTGGATTCCAGGCCCTGCATCTGAGCCTCCAGGCTGAGAGGACACCCCCACTCCCTGGGCAAAGATCGCAGGAGGCCCGAGGCCTGGGATTCACCATGCCCTCGCCCACGATTAGTTACTGAAGGGCTGCGGTTCCTCTGTGCTCATTTTCCCTCTAAGCCAGGGACTGTTCCCAGGCCTCCCTAGGCTGCTTTGAGAACTGAAGGAGCAGGTGGCAGGGACCCCCAAGCTCTCCCAGAGTTGGGGACCGGCCAGCTTGAATGCAAGCTCTGTCTGAGCAGCATGCCCTACCCGGGCCAATGCCCTGGGCTGTAGCAGGCCCTGAGTGTCCAGGCCACAGTTTCCAGACCCCATCTGCGGTGTGACGGGGTGTCAGGTGAGTGCTAGCGTCTGATGCTGTCCCTTTCTCAATGTCATCACCAGGAGCCCGACGCAGAGGCCAGTGGCATGCTCCAGAGGAGACTCTGGAGAGTCCTCAGGTGAGGGCCGGCCCCCACAGGACCACAGCCCAGGCCCCAGGACAGCCCCAAAGCCAGGCTCCCAGGAGCAGGAGGGCAAGGACTGGCAGTAGGGTGGAACTGGGCGCCATGAAGACACGAAGGCCACTGGCCACCTCGTTCTGGCCTCAGGACACTGACCACCCCTGGGGGTGGTCTAGGGACTTAGGGGAACCTCACCTCAGCCACAGGTAGAGCACCCAGTCCCCAAAGACAGGCTGACCGCACCGCCCCGGGGGACGCCGCAGCACAGCCCAGTGCCAGGTGGGGTAGAGGTGACCACAGTCCCTCTTCGCCCCGTCATCGGCTGCTCAGCTGTGGTCACGGTGCTCAGAGGACAGATCTCTATGGGGACAAGTGCCAGACCCTGAGAGTGCATGAGACGCTTTCCAGAGCCCACAGAGGGGACTCAGAGCTACAGCCTGCACCAGCCCTGCAGCCTCTGCTTTGCCCGCCCCTTTCAATAGATAGGACTTGCTTGCTCTTTTTTTTCTTCTCAGGGTTCATTTTTTTATTTTACTTATTTGTTTGTTTGATTATTTATTTCCGTTGATCTCTTTACTGTAAGGTTTACTTGCAGAATCAGGGTTCATTTTTAAAGCAGGTCCCCAGCCCCAGCCATACTGAACCATCTCTACCCTGGCATGGGAGGGGTCCTAGCTGGGGTAGCTGGGCTTTAGCACCTGCCCACTACCTGCCGTGACCCCTGACCCCAGTCCCGCCAGCCTCCAGCCTGCCCCGGGAAGAGGGAGCAGAGAGCCTCGTCTCAGCCTGGAGGGGGCTGAGGGTGGGGGCAGCACACAGGGACAGTCTGGGCTGCGGGGTGGGAGGCCAGACAGGGCGTCACTGGTGCCTGAGGGGTTGGGTGCCAGGTTCTGTGCCCGGCGGGGCTAGGATCAGGGGGTGGTCCCGTCCCCCACAGGCTCTGAGAGTTTATCACGGTCCTCTGTCCCTGCCTGCCTTGCCCCAGAGGCACAGCCTCAAAACTGTCTCCACTGTGGGAAAGGAGCCCTGGGCCCCTGTCTGGCCACTTCCTCTCCTCTTGGTGTGGGCTAGAGGTGCCAGCTGAGGAGTGGGGGCAAAGGGGACGGCCCACCTGCAGCCCGGCCCCAGCCCCTGGGCACCTCCCAAGCACCCCCCAACCCTTGACATGCCAGCTGGCCTCCAGACCCCAGGCTCCCTGAGGACGCTGGAATCTGCCACAGAGCATGAAGAAGTTCCTGGAATCCTTTCCTACCATTCACCTGAGCTCTACAAGAAGAGGCCGGTGATCATGATTTGACAGCTTGGGACAAGAATCCAGGGAGGGCGGGTCTCTGGCACCCCTCCATGCCCCTCCAAGATGGTGCTGTCCTGGTGTTCCTGAGGAGCAGTGCGAGCCTGGGCCTGGGACAGGTGCACAGTTGAGGGGACAGGTGCACAGGCAGCAGCACTCAGGGCCTGGAAGTGCCAGCCCCACCCGCCTGCTCTCACTCGAAAGCTGCTTTGGAGGGCTGGGCTGCAGGGACGGAGGCTCCGGAAAAGAGGCCCAGGCTGTGGAGCTGCCCTTCCTTGATGGAGCAGACTCTATTCTAGAAATTTCTAGAAGAAGTAGACCCACTCCAGGACAAGTGGGGCTGGGAGGCGCAGATACCGAGGGGCTCTGCAGGCACCTGGGTGTTGTGCCTGAAGTCACGGGGGGCACAGGAGAGAGCGGGAACTAGGTGGACTGTTCTGGCTGCTGCCCGTCAGCAATGCTGGCCAGACCAGATGAGCAGTGTGGGGCGAGAGGGAGCCCCAGCACAGCCCCTCAGGCCCTCCATGCCTCAGGGTGTCAGTGGACCCTGACTGGTCTCACCCAGCCCTGGGCACTTGGGCCTGTCGGGGATCTAGCTTTCGTTGAGGACCCCACCAGTGGACTGAGGCTCCTCTCACCGTGGCAGAGGGATCTCTGCCCTTCGCACCAAAAGGGGCAGCAGCTAGTGGATGGGGACGGCTCACGACCCTCCCTTTCCACTTGCCTTGGGAAGGGAGACAGACAGGAAGGGCCTTGGAACTCGGGCCAGTGTGGGGAGAGTGTCCCCAGAGAGTCCTTGAGGTGGGAGAGGGGTGGAGTTGACAGTGGGCGAGGCCGGCTTTGAGATTGTGTGGACCCTGTCTACCTCTAGCTCAAGTTGAGAGGTGTCAGCCGTGGAGCCATGTGGGCCCCAGGGACAGCCATGCGTGGGGTCCAGACCGGTCTAGATGTGCCTGTCTGGTGGGCGCTGAAGGTCCACTTGGGAGAGTCCAGGGCAGCACCTGATGAGCTGAGAGCCGCTGCTGTGTCCATCTGGAACCTGTTTCCTCACTGGGAACGTGAACACCTGCTTCAGAAGCGTTGGGGTTTAAAGGTGGGGATATGCGTGAGGTCTCTTGCCCAGCGGTGGACACTCAGTACACTCCTGATAAATGAGGCATGGGGTGGTGGAGTCTAGCACCAGGCTGGGCCCAGGAACGAGGCATCAGTGGTCGGAGGGGAGGACGTCTGTCCACCTAGCATCTTCAGCAAGGATCTGCCTCCCAGCACCCCCGTGGAGTCCTGTCTGGATGGGAGGGAGAGCAGGGCCGTGAACAGCCTCCAGAGGTGTCCCCCTAAAATCTCTGAATGTCACCAGCACCAGCAGGCCGGGTAGGGTTCTCCCGGGGGTAACACCACCCGAGCACAGCCGTGGTCCTGGGGCACGCCGCCCGGGTTGGGGGACGGAATCCGAGGTCCTGCGTCGTTGCCCATGAGTCCAGGGCTTAGGCATCGCTTTGGGGACCCTCATGCTGGCCCCCAGGCCCACTGAGGCATAGGTGAGACCACTGCATGGTCCTTGGAAAAACGGGGCTCCTCAGGCAAAGAGTGGACAGAGCCAATGCTGGCGATGCGATGGGGGGCCTTCTCTTGGCCTAATGTTTTCAAGATGCGCCTGCGTCTTGTGCCAGGTGTCAGAACCTCATTCTTCTTTATGGCTGAATCATATTCCATCGTATGGATCAGGATAAACATTTTGTTGAACTTGGTGGATATTTGGGTTTTTTCCATTCAGAGCTGTTGTGAATAATGCTTCAGGGAAGACTGATGTACGAGCTTTTGTGTAAACATGTATTCAGCTGCCTTGGGTATATACTTAGGAGTAGAATTTCTGGGTCATGTGGTAACCCAGTGTTTAACTTTCTGAGAAACTGCCAGACTTTTCCATAGCAGCTCCATCAGTTCACATTCCCACCAGCAATGCCCAAGGGTTCCAGGTTCTCCACACCCTCGCCACCACTTGCTATTACCTGCCATTTAGATTCTAACCATTCCATGGAGTAGAAGCTGGTATTTTGGCTGGGCACAGTGGTTCATGCCTGTAATCCCAGCACTTTGGAAGGCTATGACAAGAGGATCACTTAAGCCCAGGAGTTTGAGATTTGAGACCAGGCTGGGCAACATAGTGAGACCTCATCTCTACAGAAAACTAAAAAATTAACCGGGCATGGTGATGCACTTCTATAATCACAGCTACTCAGGAGGTTGAGGTGGGAGAATCACTGAAGCCCAGGAGGTTGAGGTTGCAGTGAACCGTGATTGCGCCACTGCATTCCAGCCTGGGTGACAATGAGACCCTGTCTCCAAAAAAAATAAAAACTAAGCTAAAATAAAAATGTGGTGTTTCATTGTGCGCTTGATTTGCATTTCCTAATGGCTCACGATGGGTGAGTGCCTTCTCATGTCTTAGTCACCATTTGTATATCCTCATGAGCAAAGCATCTATTCAAATCCTTTGCCCATTTTAAAAATTGGGTTGTC